AATATTCGGGTGCTGTGAATTTTTATTTTTCATTTTACCTTAACTTGATGCCAAACAAGTGCGCATGTTGCTCACAATAACATACACAGTCAAACCTTCTGATTGTTGCTAATTCAGGACATTATTTAAATGGCAAAATCAGTCATTTTATGTTTTGTCTAAAGAGTGTTAAATTCTGACATAGAAGCCGAGACCTTTTATACATTTAATCGAAATTAGGTGAGATATATACTAATCAGTATACCAATGTCGTCTTTTCCGACGTCGCAAAATACATAAAACAAGCAATGACGTTAACTACAATGTTGTAATCTATTCAGTAATTTAATTACATTTGAAGATATGGCTAGTACTCGGTTAATAATTATGCAAAATTAGTCAAAATACATCTACACAAACAGAAGATTATGTGAATCTAACATATCGGATAGGGCCATCCAAATCGCTATTACATGCTTTCTCATGTGGTACATTGTCATCTTTTCTTATCAATTGTGAAAATATCAAAATGTATCTGCTCACATTGGGGAACCTTGTACTGGAATAGTTTGGTTCACCGAGAACAAAATATAACGAAAATATAGTGTCTGTATCCACAACAAATTCTCTCCAAGTGATCCAAGTTACATTGATCTAGTGTTAAGCATAGCAGAGTTATGCCCCTTTATCTTTATATCTGCATGACCTCTCTGTCGTCGTATGATGTCATAGAAGAAAATCCATTTTCAACATTTATTGTGAGTCATTTTTAATGTTGCATAATAAGAACATACCCAATTCATATACACTTATGTCGTTCAGATATCAGGCTGTATTTTCTTCGCTCACACTTTCCGTAAAGATGCCAAATTGAAACTATAGCAGCACAGTACTTTTATCAGTGCACGATAAAAAGCATAGAAAACATTTAGTCTTCGTTAAGAATAATTATATTTGATTCAACTAAAAATGAAACTACTAGGGATATAAGCTGAGTTTATACACTGTTACAAAATGTGAGTCAGATGGGTTTAGAAAATATTTCACAGATACAACTCTGAGGATTTTTGGTCTGCAGCCAATGGGTGTACCAGATAACTCGATCCACAACTAATCAGGACGGACAAGACAGCAACATAGTTGAGTAGTTGACCGCCCTGTGGCTTCCCCATAGAAAATGTTATGGAGGTTATCAATAGTGAAGAAGGTGAGAGACACTCAACAGCTGCATGAATATATCGTTGATGGAAGAAATCAAAATATTATGTTACTAGAGCTGTAGCATTTTGTAAGTTGACACCACATCAAAGAACTACCCTGGTCAGCTCTGCCCTTTGTTTAACCCCCTTGATGCCGAGTTTTTTTCCAGGCGCACATTTTCATACGGTTTGAAAAGTGATCGTTGTGCGAGAATTGCGCTCGTGTGGTCCTGGATCTACGTACAGCTATAAAATTACACAGAAATGTAGAATATTAAATTTCCTATCCGTTGGTATAAATATAAGTGCAACTACCTGGGCGGCTTGAAAAATAGACCTTACTAAATGTTGTCCAAATTTTTGTTATGCGTTAAAAAACAGTAAATTTCTCCGCTTTTTATCGCGCACCCATAAAAGCACTGTGCTACTTAATTTTTATTTTGGCATCTTTACGGAAAGTGTGAGCGAAGAAAATACAGCCTGATATCTGAACGACATAAGTGTATACGAATTGGATTTATGTGCTTATGCATAACATTATACGCTCAACATTAAAAATGACCCGCAATAAATGTCAAAATGTATTTTCTTCTACGACGCCAAACGACGACAGAGAGGTCATACACGTATAATGATAAGGGGGCATAACTCCGTTATTCTTAATACGAGGTCAATGTAACTCTAATCACATGGAGAGTATTTGTTGTGGATACGGACGCTATAGTTTCGTTATTTTTTGTTCACGGTGAACCAAACTATTCCAATTCAAAGTTCCCCAATGTGAGCGGATACGCTTTGGTAGTTTCACAATTTATAAGAAAAGATGACAACGTACTGACTGACTGACTGAGTTTGGTTTTACGCCGCTTTTAGCAATATTCCATCAACATCACGGCGGGGAACACCAGAAATGGGCTTCACACATTGTACCCATGTGGGGATTTGAACCCGGGTCTTCGGCGTGACGAGCCAACGCTTTAACCATTAGGCTACCCCACCGCCCCTGACAACGTACTACATGTGAAAGCACGTAATAGCGATTTGGATGGCCCTATCCCATATATAAGTTAGTTCTTAGATTCCCATATTCTCCTGTTTGTGTAGATGTATTTTGACTAATTTTGCATCGTTATTACCAGAATACTAGCCATATCTTCAAATGTATTGAAATTGCTGAAAATAATACAACATTTTAGTTGACGTCATTGCTTGTTTTATGCATTTTGCGACGTCGGAAAGTGACGACATTGGTATTCTGATTAGTATATATCTCACCTAATTTCCATTAATTGTGTGAAAGGTCTCGGCTTTTTTTTCAGAATTAACACTCTTTAGACAAAACATAAAACGACTGTATTTTCCATTTTAAATAGTGTCCTGAATATATCAACAATTAGACAGTTTGACTGTGTATCTTATCATGAGCAACACGCGCACCTGTTTGGCATCAATTTAACGTAAATGAAAAATAACATTTCACACCTGAATATTTTGTTTAGGAGAGGAATTTACTTTATTTATGATTATGCAGCTATTTCTCTTCATACGTATGCAATGGAAGATGCAAAAAAGATAGCTTTTTATATATGGAACTAGTACGTACTATATATTAGAATATGGATGTAAGATTTGTCCAAATTAAGACATGACATGCTTTATACATTTTTTAAACAATTTTCGTATAAATATAGTTTGATATCCTGTCATCACAATATTTTTAAATCGACTATGAATTGATTATATTATCGAAAACAATGATAGTGAATCATAAAACGTTTCCGACAAACGCGCACCTGGCCAATCAATTTACATCATTGTTTTCTCTATAAAACGACACAAAAATGTGCAATGAACAAGACATTTCCTTTAAATGTGTGTGCATATACATTTCATAACATACATAAATCATTTTCATTAAATATTATCAGTTTTACTTATAAGGTTTAATCAAATCGCCATTCATTAACCTGTTCATGTGAAACTGCAATATTAGTTCAAATGCATTGAATATTGTACATCATAGGAACTAAAGTAATATTGCAGTTATGGCTACGTTTGATTTTCTAACACTTGTGTAAAGGTTTAGAATATGGTGTACTGCACTAAATGTGTCAATTTCTTATGTAAATATTATTCAAACAATCAAAACCTTTCAAAGAATAAAACACCGTAAACCCCATATGCAAGTATGATATGATATTTGAACATGGATTAAATGTAGATACTGAGGTCAGTTTCATGAAAAAGTATCTGAACTATCCGCAAAATATACATGATAATACTGACAGTGTAATCGGAAGGATTGGGCGATTGTGTTTACTCTTGTTCAACCGACCTTCACCTCAAAGAAATTGCCTAATATGTACAACAATGTTGACGTATGACATCACTACCGATGACCTATTTCTTACAAAATGGCGGCTTTGCTGACAAGGATAGATAGGATTTTGCGAGGACCCTTCCATTGATTCAGGGATCGTTTGTACATAAATATGAGATGTAAGTAATCAGAATGATTCTTACTAACTGTGTATTGTTATATGTTTCTATCATTTTCACTGTAAGTAAGAGAAGAAGCCAGAAATGCTGATATATTACAGTTGTCGTTCTGCGTGATTTTGCGCCAGTCATAGCGTCACGCGGCACGGAAACTTTGACAATTTCTTATGAATTATCAAATCGTTGCATTGTATCTAGTTATAATTTCCTATTTCTTACTACGATACTCTTTCCATGCATATTCCAAAGGTATTGAGCTATTGCAAGCTATGAATAGAAGGATGAATGTTGGAAAATTTCAGAAATTGCTACGCAGTGTAAAATCGGAATTTGTCTTTGTTTACGTTTCGAACCAGCGCAGTCTTTCGAGCACAGCGTTCGTTTTCACACCCAATATGTTTCGTCTCATTTTATCTAGACTTTTGGTATTGGTGACACAGACCAGTTGCAATTTGATTCTAAAATGTATGGGGAATTCAGTGATGCATTTTTTGAAGCTGAATATGAAATATACGTGATGTAATAGGCGTCTCAATACCGGCCTTCGCGAAACGTGATTTTGAAAACACTTTCCAATATGGCGGAAAGCGCTCTACGGTGTTCGTGTAAGTGCATTTTCGAAAACATCCCAACCGATTCTAGATTCATCGGCAACGTTTCAGAATTATCATTAGCGATTTCATGTAAAACTGATATCAGTGATCATGAATAGGTTAGTTTTGAAATTCAGTACTCCCAGGAATTATTCGATTTTCACATTTCAAAACATACAGCAAATAACGCTGTGAATCGCGATTTCATACTGTGTCAAAAATGTCGCCATTTTCGATGAAGCCTATTTTGAAAGGTCATTTTCAGCACTTGAGCTTTGTCTAAAATAATAGTGGATGGTATCAAGAAACAGGAAACTTCCCGCAGAATTCGAAACTGTGAAGTGTATTTGTGTGCGTGGGATATTTTGATTTTTATTCGACTTCAAATTGAGGGTTGAAGGGGAAGGACATATATGTCCCTGTGGCATCCAGGGGGTTAACAATAATATCAGTTAGGAAATGTCCAAGTAGCCTCGGAACAATGGTTTAAGTCAATAAGATATCACAATGGTCACTTGGTGGAGCGGGCTGCAAACAATGAATTGATCAGGAAACAGACCTGGACTGTTTAAACTTGGTCTGAGCCTGATATACATAGGACATGTTGTCAAAATACATTGTTGTGGGCTCACAGTTGAAATTATGTCATTGACACCCAGCCTCACTTAGATTATAGAACTCTAAGTGTGATACTAAAGTAACTTTCCATCTTGCGATTTATCTTACTCACAATTTCATGCTTGAGATCATCTATCTTTGCATGAAGATCTTCATTTTCAGTTGTCATCAGAGCATTCTCATCCTTGAACCTGGTTCTTTGGCGCTCTATCTCTGCCTGAAAAACAGATAGAATTACATTGCACACACTATCCACAGCAAGTCAAGTCACACACACATAATTTGCAACAAAACCACTCATTAAACAGTAATCCAACACAGAATTCAGGCAACTCTGTTGTCATCTGCATTAAATTTACACAGAAGTTATAAAAAATGAATGTAAAAACTTTCAATCTGTTTCTGTTATACAGCAATGAGGGGGAATCAAAACAATGAATGTAAAAACTTTCAATCTGTTTCTGTTATACAGCGATGAGGGGGAATCAAAACAATGAATGTAAAAACTTTCAATCTGTTTCTGTTATACAGCGATGAGGGGGAATCAAAACAATGAATGTAAAAACTTTCAATCTGTTTCTGTTATACAGCGATGAGGGGGAATCAAAACAATGAATGTAAAAACTTTCAATCTGTTTCTGTTATTCAGCGATGAGGGGGAATCAAAACAATGAATGTAAAAACTTTCAATCTGTTTCTGTTATACAGCAATGAGGGGGAATCAAAACAATGGATGTAAAAACTTTCAATCTGTTTCTGTTATACAGCGATGAGGGGGAATCAAAACAATGAATGTAAAAACTTTCAATCTGTTTCTGTTATACAGCGATGAATGGGAATCAAAACAATGAATGTAAAAACTTTCAATCTGTTTCTGTTATACAGCGATGAGGGGGAATCAAAACAATGAATGTAATACTAACTACCATTGTAATACGTGCCTTTATTAGGTTGCCAAAGTCAGCAGAACAAACCTGATGTATATATTGTCAAAGGTCAGATGGTACTTTGATGACAAGAGTTAAGTTTTAATTAATTTTATTGCAAAGAAAAATAAGTTAGGGGCAAGTCTGTCCATATAATCAGGAAAACATACATATTTCTCCTCCTACCCTACTACATACATAAAACTCAATAAACCAACACTTAACATAATGAAACTTTACATTACAGCCAACCTTCTGACTTAAAATATCCCTTCATAAACTTATTAAATCCTAATCTATTTCTCCCCCACCCATCGTCATCATGAATCTAACCTATCCCTAATAAATGAGTATTAATAGAGAGAGATCTTGATGCATGAGGGAGGGAGGGAGTCTCCTATGGTACCTTACCAAATGCTGGAAGCTGTTATGAGTGATGAATCTCTACCCAGGGTAGGCTTACATAGCCAGCACACAGAGCATGTGACACAGCCAATGAACGCACTACTTATACCTTGGCTACAAAACCTGGCCGCCTCCTAGCTGAGCATGCAAGAAGCGTGGCATTGTCACATCTTCCCAACCTCTATGACCTCCATAGCGAGTGAGTGAGTGAGTTGACTTTTATGCCACACTCAGCAATATTCCAGCTATATGGCGGCGGTCTGTAAATAATTGAGTCTGGACCAGACAATCCAGTGATCAACAGCATGAGCATTGATATGCACAATTGGGAACCAATGACGTGTGTCACCAAGTCAGCGAGCCTGACCACCCGATCCCGTTAGTCGCTTCTTACAACAGGCATGGGTTACTGAAGGCCAATATTCTAACCCGGACCTTCACGGGTCATGAACTCCATAAGCTCCTACAATAAAGACTACAAAGGTAGGTACTACATCAGCCACCCACCCAAATCCCCTTAAGTCCACCCACAATGTGTTTGAACCACATAAATTTAGCTCCAAATCCATGGGTGCCGTTCCACTAACCGATCTCATCTAAGTTCAATCTTAGAAAGTTAGGCCAGTTTTACAATCGTCTTCCACAAACCGATCTTAGGCCGATTGTAGCCGGTCCCAATCCGATCCAAGCTTAAATTGAGACTCTTTCATGCGAGATATAGAGAAATGCGAGACACAAGTTATCTCCCTTTGCATAGTCTAGCAGACGATGGAAGTAGTTTTGGAACCAAGTGTAAACGTGGAGAAAAAACCTCGAGCAAAATATTACGGTAGTGAGCACCTTGTTTTCAGGTGCAAGGGCATGTGAATGCTGGGTATCAGGCATAATATGTGGCTGAACCTTGTCGATCAGAATAAACAAGGCGTGACAAGACATCCTCTCTAACGTATCTAGAATCTGTAAGCGGTCTTGAAAAACACACCGCCTGCCTTTAGAATCCCCCACCAAATAAGCCCACATGAAATCAAACATATTTGTGTCTTTTTGTTTCAGAACATTGTTCACTTCATGACCGTCCCTATTCTTAACCATGACGTTGCAATATTGTTGTACAAATGTATTACATTGCCTGTGCTCCCATGACGACAGTGGTCATGTTTGTAAGGCTTCAGTGCTGTGTTTTTACATCACAGACATAAACAAATTCATTTCATGGGTGGTTTTAGGGGACGCTCACAGTGAAATGCTCGTTCTTCTTCACACAGAATGTGAAAGCCACCATTTTGGTTTCTCTACAATTGATTTTTAGCTATCTTAAGTTGGTCATGAGCAACTTAGACTTTGGATCCTAACTTAACGGTTGACTTGGTAAAGATTGGTTAGTGGAATGGTATGCCGATCGTAACGTCACACAAAGATTGGGATTTTAGGGGTATACAATTGGCATAGGGCTAAAATCGGTTAGTGGAACGGCACCCTGGATGACAACACCAATAATATATTGTACCATAGTGATGATGTTGATAAATGATAAATGCAGAGTGAGTAATGGCTCTGTTTTCATGGAAATGTAGAACATGACATGTATATTTGCAATGCCATTGTCAGATAAACTAACGAGTGAGTGAGTGAGTTAAATTTAACGTCACATCGGCAATATTGCAGCCATATCGTGATGAGGAGTAGAATAAGAAATAAAGCCGTAATAAATAAAGTCAAATTATAAAACCCTGTGAACGAAGGACAGTAAAATAACTAGAGCATCACAGATATAGATATAAAACTAGTATGAAAAACTAAAAACTTTTAACTATAGAAGACAATACAAAATAATAAAAAACAGGCTACATATTGCCAACAACTGAAGGTAGATCACCATGCTGGGGACCATGGGGACTTACAGTACATTTGCTTCCTGCATGGGCCCCAGCTGGATTTACATCATCCCTTCAGCTGTTAGCAATTTAGAATAATTTAGCCATACTTTAAAAATACACATATTCTACGATTAAAATTGTGGAAAGTTTTAATTGACTTTGAATGTTTTGGGACTTACGTATCCTCTCAGGAGGACAATAATTTTACAGTACTTTAACCCCCCTTTGAGAATACAGCCACGAACAATCTGAGTTACTAATTTAAACTTCCAATTATAATTATCTTTTTACAAATCATTTAATAAATCTAATTCTTTAAAAATGCAATAATTAAATGAGAACTTATATTAATAAAAAGATCCTTCATAGTTCGTGATTTGAAATAGTTATCCCTTGTGATGGAGTATTCAACACAGTCAAGCAAGACATGCTTGACCGTGATTCTTTCATCACAAGGGATACAAAACGGAGGATCTTCGCCTTTCAATAAATATTCGTGAGTATATCAAGTATGGCCAATGCGACATCGTCGCATAATGACCTAGAAAACAAACAAAAGAATAAAAACACTACAATATGAATACTGCTAGAAGATAATTTCCTTTACACATGTGTGCAACAGGTGAATAAAGCATGTACATTCATTGAGCATGTGTGTGCAAAGAATAACCCACGTGTGTACCATGTATGTAACATGGGGGCACATTTCAGTTGAATTTGACAAATAAACGAAATGAATGTTGAGATAAAAGAAAACAAAGAGATCTGAATCTTGGGTTAATGAGCATCCATTGACCTGTGTTCAAAAGATCATGAACACAAAGTTTGCCCATCTTATTTAGTGTTATCCAGCCCAGCTGAAAGGAGAACCGCTGTGAATATAGATACACATTCATTGGTTTGGTATGGTTGTTGTTGAACGCTGCAGTCAGCAATCATCCAGCAAGATGGCACTGGGACCAGACAATACTGTAATCAACATCATGAGCATCGATCTACATAATTGGGATGTGATGATATGTCAACCAAGTTGAGTCTGACCACCCAATCCCAATCTTATGAGGGTTGCTGAAGACCATTTCTAACCTGGATCTTCATGGGTTACACATTAATTGCTATGGGAAGCCACAAGTTGACACAAATGTCAGGGTTTGGTGCAAATTTTCAAGTCATATGAGCAAATTACCTTCATAGAGTTGGTAAGAACGGCCTGTTCATGCATTACATATAAAAATAACTAAATGTCAGAATATGAAGAAGAATTAAGTTGTGTTGTGTTTCAAGCTGGTTGAAAATTACGAAAAACAGCCTCGACCATCGTTTGATGTCCCCCTATTTTTTATAATTTTATTTGAGTCTTAAATTCTATAGGGCACTGGTGAGTTTCGGCAACTAAAATAGAGACAAAAACACAGATGCAAACATACATATGAAACATATATATTTTTTCTAGTCCATGTAGAAGGGGTGCCCAGGGTTGGCCGTACAAACTGGTTTGGGCATTTCTGTCTTCTCGTCGGCTTGTTTGTCGACTGGTGTGTTGGCCGGTGTGCAGTGTTTCCAGGTCGTGTGGACGACCTTCCAGACAAACACGGCGACTAGCGAAATGTAGGTCCCCTTTTGGGTCACTTACCAATATCCCGATGGCCTGCAGTAAATCTTATTATTTATTTAGGGTATTTTCAGTTTAATACAACTGTGTCCATATGCGTAAGTCGTTACACCATCGTTAGCAATCCATCGCTTTGCATCCATTGATAACAACGATGTTTTGTTCATTCTCAAACTGTATATCTTGTGCTTGTCACTTCTCAGAGTGTTCATTTTGTGTTTGAAGGTTAATCTATATCGAACAGGGCCTCTTTGAATTACTCGTGTTTGATTTGCTTTTTCACGACGTATTTCTTCACACCCTTAGCCTTTCTTATCTAGCCGCTGTTGGCTTTCTTGATGGAATACATCTTAGGCCTCAATCTGACGTACTCGGCAATCGGGGTCCCAGCACGCTC